ACTTTAATTTTTAAACTTGAACTGAGTAAAAACTCTGAATATGTGATTGTACAGTATATTATAAGTAATATTCACTTTGAGGCTCAGGCTGATACTCGGTGGTGTCTTAACTTTTCTACAAGTTCATCAATATTTGGGGTCAGGCTCTGAGCTGAGCAAATCCTCAACATTGAGTGAGGGTGTTCAGCAGTAAATCGACTTCTGTGTGATGTTTTGTTCAGCTTCATCAAAGAAAATAGTTGTTCACACACGTATGTGCTGCCAAACTTTCGACAACGTTTGAGCAGCCTGGATGCGCAGCGGGACCACTGTGTCGGGGAGGAAACCGTCAAACTGCGCAGCACGCACTGCCGTATCTTTGCAGAAACACTGCAATTGTGTTTCTGCTAATGCTCACGTTTAAAAAGAGTTGCTTTTTTTGGGGTAAACTTCGTCACAAACTTTAAGTATACCGTTTTTAATGAAATCCCCCTTCCCCCTCCATGTCCATGTCCATGGAGGGGGGAGGGGGGTTTCATTGTTTTTGTTCGTGTGTTTCGTTTCATAATGTCGTCTCAGATTACACTATTTCAATCGCGCCACACTTTCTCCGCACAGAAGACACACAGGTATTCCAGCTACGTCCATGAACATGTACTTCGACTCCCACCTTGTTTGAAACCCCCGGTTCTCAGTGTCCATCTTCCGTTTTGCCATTTTTGATGGGTATCTGAAAGCTAATGTCACTGTTATGGGAACGACTGCTTGACTAATAAATAATTAAATAAAGCGGCCGACTGCTTGGCGCGTCACCGTTGCATTGTGGGAAATGTAGTATTGGTGCGTGTAAAAGATCTGCGGGCTCTCGGCTGGCTGTGGTCCGCGGGCCGGTTCTAATAATAAATCAATATCATCCCAGGGGCCACTGAAAACATTCTCGCGGGCCGGATTTGGCCCGCGGGCCGGCACTTTGACATAGGTGTGTTAGGGTTTTGTTTTGGGGTTTTTTTTTCCCTTTGATGTATCAAAGGGATCGCAATCGACCAGTAGCCCGCGAACTGGTCCCAAATCAATCACAGGGGGGTGTCTGTGTATATGTTATTAATATTCTAGAGTATATTTTTATGTATGCGTGCATGTGCGGTAGCGGGTGGATCGCGGGAGGTTGGTTGCTTGTAAAGTCGCTCTTCGGTGAAAAAAGGTTGGGCACTCCTGCTTTACACCCCTTGCGATCGACGTATTGGGCCCCCCTGATAGAGCCAATATTTGGGATTTTGGCGCACAATTTCGGACATTTTTTTGTTTCCCCCCTCCCATTCAATTGCCAATCAGTTATAACTATTCTCTTTACCTTATGGCTATCCTCCTCACACTTTTTTCTGATTTTGTTTTCCTGCATATTGAGTGACTAGCTGGAAGTTGCGACATAATTAGAGTCCCATCGCAATTTGCCAGTCAAAAATGTGTACGTTGCACCTCAATCCAACACATTTAAAAGCCAAACTACAAACGGGTGTTTATGTGCACAGCGTATTGCCAAGTGTTATGTGTAACATTCGAACGCTAACCTGTTACGTCCGTAGTGTCAAGAAGTGTTTGCATCATTCCTGATTTATTTCCTTTATTTATTTCTTCTATTTTTTTGCATGTTTGACACAAGTAAGTGAAAACAAAATGTAGGTTTTTGTTTGTTTTTTTAATTAATGAGGAAATGCCCTGTGTGAAAAAGTGATTGCCCCCTAAACCTCATAACTGGTTACGCCACCCTCAGCAGCAGCAACCAAAATGAAGCATGTTCTATAACTGGCAATACGTCCTTCACGCCTCTGTGTAGATATTCTGGACCCAGTCTTCCTTGCAAAATTGCTTTAATTTAGCCGCACTGGAGGGTTTTCGAGCATGAATAGCTTTTCAAAGCTGATGTCACAGCATTTCGATCAGATTCAAGTTTGGACTTTGATTTGGCCACTCCAAAACACTCAACAACGTTTTATTCAACAATCAAAAGTTGAATTGCTGATGTGTTTTCAATTGTTATCGTGATGCAGAACTCAAATGCGCTTCAGCTTGAGGCCACAAACAACCGATGGCTAAATGTTCTCCATCAGCATTTTCTGGTAAAGAGAGGAGGTCACAGTTCCATAAATCACAGCGAGCCAGCCATCCAGGTCTCGGGGTAGCGATGTAGCCCCAGACCATCACACTACCACCCATAATTGACTGTTGCACAACATGGTGTATTCAGAGTACAGGCGCTCCCCGATTTATGAACAACGGTACACACGAACATTTTTGCGGGTACAGGTATGTCAAAAAATGTTCTCGGACAGAGATGCTGTAAGTTAGATTTTGTTTGCGCGCCTTTTTCCGAGTACTGTAGTACGTCTTTCCGCCGCTAAGACCGACGTGAGGCGCTGTGAGAGGAGGAGGAGGAGGAGGAAACGCCTGTCCCCATGAAGAAGTTTGAGACGGAACTCTTGGCCGAGGGGTTTTCACTCATAGATAAAGCCATCGCACTCTTCGAGCAGCAAGACCTAAATATTGAAAGTTGCACAAAGGTTGCAAATCAAATGAATGATGCCATACAGTGCTACTGCATCATTTATGATGAGAAAAAGAAGAAAACTGTGTAATCGTCGTTAGATCGCTTCTTTTGGCCAGTTTCTATTACATCCTCCAAGGAAGATACTCGTCAACCCTCATCTTCTTCTCCTGGACCCTCAACTTCTTCCTTCATTGATGTTACGGAGGAGGAAGTAACTCTTGAAGCCCATTCCAGCGGCGACGAAGACCCTCCCGGCCCCATGATATTAAAAATCCTCCTCTTCCTTCTCCTCCCCCTCCATCATCTCCTTAAGCCTTCGAGTACATCTTCCAAAAGTAAGTTAAACTTCATTTTATTATAGTACTTATATAAACCTTAAACATACTTATATAAGCCTTAAACATACATTCCATACAAAATATAGCACTGAAGCAACTTACGCACGAATTCAGCTAACGAACGATCCTTCGGAACATAATTCGTTCGTTAGCTGGGGAGTGTCTGTACTTTTACAAGATCAGGAATTTGTACGTGCACCATGCCGTTCTGCACATTCATCGCTTTTCTTTGATTATATTTTTAAGATCAATGTAGCCACGTGGGGGCACAAGCCAGTGTCTTATTGTGCCAGTCCGAAGCCCGGATAAATACAGACGGTTATGTCAGGAAGGCCATCGGACGTAAAATTTTGGTCAAAACAAAAATGCGGAAAAAAAAATAATAATAATAGTAAGAAAAATAAATAAAACTGTGGTGAGACCAGCCAAGCTGTTTTAACTGGAGACAGTGCCATTGTTGTGAGCTTTGAGGTTCATTTTTTTCTGGAGTGTAATTGAGCGAGTCTGGGGCTTGGGGAGTCATGGACATAATTACAAAATATGGTGAGTTTTTAGAGATGTCGATATGAAAAATGGCAATTCATCATGAATAACAATAGTCGACAGCAAGTTGAAGAGGGGCATGTTGTTCTTGTGGTTAGCAGTGTTGTCAGAGTTACCTTGAAAAATTGTCATGATTCGGTTTGGGACCAACAGGTGGCACTGTAGGGCTCTCCCTGCAGCTGCACACCTATTGGTCATTAGGTAATTAGTGGCTTTAAAAGGACTCCCAGCCCGAACAATCATTGTCGGGTCATTGTTGCTTTTTGCTGCTGTCATGTTTGTTTGTCAGTCATGTTTAGATCATGTTTTTGGTCATGTTTTTGTTCTTGATAGTTTTGAGCTTCAGTCATGGTTTTTGTTTGATACTTTGGACTTTGTTTGTTTAGGATTTAGTTTTCTGTGTTTTATCAATACACGTCTTCAAATACACCCTGCTCCTCACTCTTGCCTGCTTTTTGGGGTCCAGCACCACCTCGCTACGT